TGTGGGTGCCAGGACTCTGGAATTACCAGCCCAAATCACACCAAACCTGCTTCCAGGGTCTTCATGGGCCTCTTCACCTGATTCATTCTCTGGGTTTGCACTCCCCTAGGCCAAGGGACAGCTGTTTGCAGGAGCAGTGGGGATGGAGATTGAGTATGTGTGCTGGGGTGTCTATACACATGCATTTGAGGCACTGTTGATACAGGATGGTGGGAGGATGGGAAGAGAAGGGGGGGCAGGCTGCCAGCTGGTGGAGGAAGAGGGGCACAAAGGTTTGGGGCGAGCCCAGCTGAAGGAATCCATTTCTCTGCACATCTGGAACTTAATCACAGTGCATGCCAGTCAGGAAACTTTGGACCAGGCATCTTCTATTGTGACTTACAATGCTTTGAATTCTGATTTCTATCCCATGGCCATGGTCGAGAGCCTGCACTTTGCAGAGCAGGTGGGTGACACGTGGACATGTATGTCCTTTGGATCATTACCCCCTCAGCTGCGTTGGGACTGCAGCCTCATCCGTTCTGCTCCTTCCTCCCTTAGTATATCAGATACACTGTGCCTGCCTCATGGCAAATAATTTCTCAACACTCTGGGAAAGGATTTTGTTTGTTTTCCTTACGTTTCATTGAAAGCAGACCTAGGATAACACCCCAAAAGTAAGATAGGCAAATGACTTGACAATTAAAAAACACACACAATTAGCCAACAGGCACGTAAATAATATCTCTAGTAAATCAAGAAGCATAAACCAAAGCGATGAGATAATTTATTTTGCCTCTTAAATTGGCAAAGATAAGAAGCAAGAAAACGTTCAGTGTTTGTGAGGGTTTGGGGAACATTGCCATTTCATATACTGTTAGCAGAAGGGCAATAAGGTGATTGGAGAAAGACTTATAGAGATAAATCTGGCAATGAATTGCAAAAGACTTTAAAATGTATATATCTTTTGAAATCTTGAAGACATTGTTGCATAGTTTCCTTACATCTGTTAGTTGCTGATGAAAAGCCTGATGTCAATCTCATTCTTGATTTTTTTCCCTCTTCTGAAACTTTTGTTATCAATGACATTCTGAAATTTCACTAAGATCTGTCTGGGTTGCGTTTTTCTTTTTATTTGTCCTGCCAAGTGCTTGGTAGGCTATTTCATATACATTTTAAAAATTTTATTGAAGTATAGTTGATTTACAATGTTGTGTTAATTTCTGCTGTTCCTCAAAATGACTCAGTTATACGTATATGTTCTTTTTCATATTCTTTTCCCTTATGGTTTGTCACAGGATGTTTAATATAGTTCCCTGTGCTATAGAGTAGGACCTTGTTGTTTATCCCTTCTATATATACTAGTTTGCATCTGCTAATCCCAAACTCCCAATCCTTCCCTCCCCCACCTCTCCTCCCCCTTGGCAACCACACGACTGTTCTCTATGTGAGTCGGTTTCTGTTTCATAGATATGTTCACTTGTGGGGTATTTTAGATTCCACATATAAGTGACATCGTATGATATTTGTCTTTCTCTTTCTGACTTCACTAAGTATGATAATCTCTAGGTTCATCCATGTTGCCATTATTTCATTCTTTTTTATGGCTGAGTGACATCCCACTGTATAGGTATATGTCACATCTTCTTTATTCATCTGTCGATGGACATTTAGGTTGTTTCCATGTCTTGGCTATTATAAATAGTGCCACTGTGAAATAAGAGTGCATGTATATTTTTGAATTATAGTTTTGTCTGGGTATATGCCCAAGATTGGGATTGCTGGATCACATGGCAACTCTATTTTTAGTTTTTTGAGGAACCACCATACGATTTTTCATAATGGCCGCACCAATTTACATTCCCTTGGTAGGCTATTTCAATTTGAGCTTTCATGTCTTTCGTCAGTTCCGAGAAATACTTAGTATTATTTCTGTGAGTATTGCTTCTGCTCAATTTTCTTCTGCTCCTTCTTTCTGGAACTCCTCTTAGATTAAGGTTGTAATTTCTGGATTTCTATTCTGTGTTTCTTAATGTGTTTTTCATACGTTCACTTACCCCTTCCAGGAGAATTCCTTGGCTTGCTCTTCCAGTTCACCAAATTGCTCTTTAACTGTGCCTGTCCTGCTATTCGGCTTCTCTGTTGAGTTTTTAAACTTCATTTCAACAGTTAAAACTATTATTTCAGGGGCTTCCCTGGTGGTGCAGTGGTTAAGAATCCTCCTGCCGATGCAGGGGACATGGGTTCAATCCCTGGTCCGGGAAGATCCCACATGCCGTGGAGCAACTAAGCCTGTGCGCCACAACTACGGAGCCTGTGCTCTAGAGCCTGTGAGCCACAACTACTGAAGCCTGCATACCTAGAGCCCATGCTCCGCAACAAGAGAAGCCACCGCAATGAGAAGCCCGCACACCACAATGAAGAGTAGCCCCCGCTCCCCGCAACTAGAGAAAGTCCATGCGCAGTCAACGAAGACCCAACACAGCCAAAAATAAATAAATAAATAAATTTTTAAAAAGCTGAAACTATTATTCCAAATATTTCTAATTGAACCTTTTTGGTCACTCTTGTCCTCATATTATCTTCCCTTATTTTTCTGAGCAGATTAAATACACTTATTTAAAATTCTGTCCTACATCCTGTATTAATTCCATTTCCTTTGAGGTCTCCATTATAGAGTTTGTTGTCTCACTTTTTTGGTGTTGACCTTCTCCCACTGTTTGTATATTCTTTTTTTTTTTTTTTTTTGCGGTATGCGGGTCTCTCACCGTTGTGGCCTCTCCGCAACCAGACGCGCAGGCTCAGCGGCCATGGCTTATGGGCCCAGCCGCTCCACGGCATGTGGGATCCCCCCGGACCGGGGCACGAACCCGTGTCCCCTGCATCGGCAGGCGGACTCTCAACCACTGCGCCACCAGGGAAGCCCTGTATATTCTTATTTTTGTACTAATTTCTGTCACTGAAATTTCCTGTTAGAACATCAGCTCCATCTCTTTAAGAAGCCAGGTTGGAAGGCAAGGATGGAAACAACTATTGGCTTACTCTACGGGTACTGTTTTCAGATAGCAAGCCTTCTTGGCATGACTTTTCTCTTTCTCTCAGGTGTCACTAGCCCCTGAGAGCACTGCCCTTCTCTCTGAGCCAAGGCCCTCTCTGTGCTGTTTCTACTCAACTGACACCAAATGTGTGGGTTTTCATCCCCCAAATCAACCAATTCTCCAACTCTCCAGACACCAACTGGGTGTCCTACTACTCAATTCAATTCTGACACTAACTCTCTGGGGTTAGCACAGACCCACAAGTTAAGGGCCCAGTCCCCCAAGACTGCCTCTCCCCCACTTCAGACACCAGTTGCAAGTCCCAGGCTGCCACCTGTACTTCTGACCAGCTGGCTATAAATCAGGGTTCTCATACCCCCTCCTCAGGTTCAGTAATATGCTAGAATGACTCACAGAACTCAGGAACACTTGACTTACGTATACCAGATTATTGTAAAAGATATTATAAATGATACAAATGAACAGCCAGATAAAGAGGTACATAGAACTCCAAAAGAGTTCCAAGTGCAGGAGCTTCTGGCAAGCTTCTGGTGCTGTGGAGTTGGTGTGTGCCACCCTCCCAGCACATATATGCTTTCACCAAAAAGCTCCCCCAAACGTTGTCACTTAGGGATTTTTATGGAGGCTTCATCATGAGGCATCATCAATTACTAACTCAATCTCCAGCCCCTTTCCCCTCCCCAGAGGTTAGAAGGTGGGGCTGAAAGTTCCAAGCTCCTAATCAAGGTTAGGTCTTCCTGGCAACCAGCCCCCATCTGAAGCTATCTAGGGGCCACCAGGAGCTGCCTCGTTAAACAAATAGGGCTCCTCTGTGTCCTATCACTCATGAAATTCCAAGGAATTTGGGAGCTCTATGTCATGAAGTTCGAGCAAATACCAAATGTTGTAACAAAAGATGCTGCTGTCATCCCTGTTACTCAGGAAATGGCAAGAGTTTTAGGAACTCTATGCCAGGAACTGGGGACAAAGACCAAATATATATTTCTTTTTATATCACAAATCTTTTTATATCCTACCCTCACAGACTGCTCCGTCATTGCCGTCTGGCCTCAGCTGGTGGAGGAATAGAATGATTGACCTACCTGGCTGCCCTTGGCCTCCCTGTGGCCATGACAGAGCCTCTGCTGGCTTCTCGTCTCCCACTTGGCACTCACCCTCACGCTCCCTGGGCCGCCTTTTATCTTTTCAATCAGATACTCTCTATCCATGAATTTCTCTCTGTAGTCCTCCTCTTGCTTTTCTTTTTCTTTTTTATTTTGTCCATGCCACGTGGCTTGTGGGATCACAGTTCCTTGACCAGACCAGGGGTTGAACCCATGCCCTTGGCATTGTAATTGCAGAGTCCTAACCACTGGACTGCCAGGGAATTCCCTCCTCTTGCTTTTCAATGAGGCTATATTTAAACTTCATTCTATCATTTCTTGGCATTTCATGGAAGGAACACATGCTCAGTCCAATACCTTGAGGTGGAATTATGTAAAAAACGATATATAACCTTCAAACCAGTAACCCACTTCTAGGAATTTATCCTAAGGAAGTAATTAAGAATAAAGCTTTAACCCCAAGGAGTTTCATCACAGTAACATTTGATATGAAAAAGTGAAAACAGATATCCAATTAGAGGGGTTTAGTTAAATAAATGGTGACACATCCATACAGTGACAGAGTAAGTATGTGAAAAATACTATGGCAGAATATTTAAGGGTATAGAAAAATGTCATTGATGTATTATTAAGTAGAAATTTCAGGTTACAGAATTATTTTAAAGTCTCATTTTTGTAAAAATAAAAAAAAAAAAAACCACACCTGTTCTTACAGAAAATGGTAGCTCTGCATGGTGGGATTTCTGCTTGACTTTTTTTCCTTCTTTTTGGCTGTCGTTTTTTTCCACGCTCTTGGAGATTGTTTTCAGTAACTGCTGTGTGCAAGACTCTAGTCGCATCCTCTGCTTCCCTCCCCCAGGTGGGCTGGAAGATGGCATGTCCTCCAACAGTGTGCCCCGATCGACAGCCCCAAGTGGAATATCCAACCCAGAGAAGAAGATGAGCTGTGGGACCCAGTGCCCAAATCCCCAGCGCCTCAGCTCAGGCCCCCTGACCCAGAAACAGAATGGCCTCCGGACCACAGAGGTAGGTCGCAGCCACAGAACAGACTTGGGACCGGAGACAGGGGGAGAAGTTTGCTTCAGGGCAGAGCCAAGCTGAGACAGCACCCAGGGAAGGAGCAGTGACAGCTCACCTTGCCAAAGGAAGTTCTCCACCCACCCGTGTGAAAGTTGTTGCAAAGAAGATAGCAAGGCTCCACCTCCCACCCCCTGCCTTGAGGGTTGCTGTGTTTTGTTGAATCTGCGGAAATGGGTCCTTGATATTAGCGCTCTAAAGGAAGTGTGTCTTTGTTTAAATACAGCTTTGTTCAAGGACCTCCTTTGCTGTCGCAGCTCTCAGCATCTTGATAGTGAGGTCTGTACTGGCTACGGGAACTAGTCTCAGGCCAGGCAGTCGGCCATTGCAGGGGTTGGCAGGGACGAAGACCAGCGTGGTAGGAGACAAGCCTGGAGTAGACCTCACACCCTCCAACCAGGTGGGCAGTGGGAGGGTCTGCAAGGGGGGTTCTTGTTGCAGAATGTGGTGACAGCATCACCCCACACTGTTGCTGTTGGAGATGAGGCAGGGCTACGGAGTCCCTGGACCTAGCTGGCATCCTGTCTGATTCTTTCTTTTCTCTCCTGCTGCCCCTGACCGCTCCTTAGCAGACCAGCGCAGCCGTGTGCCGTTCCTCCCTCTTGCTTCCTCATCTTCCCCATCCCCTCTAGCTCCCACCTTCAATGTCCACTACTTACCCAATACTCCAAATCCATTTTTCCCCTCTCCCCTGTCAAAACTTACTGGTCCTGTCCCTCAGGCCAGCGCCGTCTGTTTTCTGAGGATCCAACTGGATTATCTAACGATGGAATTCTTGCCCACATCAGTGAGTTCCCTTTCTAAGCTTTGGTCAGAAAACCTGTTGCAAATTCAATTAAGTAAGTAGCTTTGCAGGAATCACTCAGTCTCCCAGAGTCTCAGGTTCTTTATCCACACAATGGAAATAGTACCAAGATGAGAGAACAGATGGGCCTGTTCTTTGTGAACTGAGAGGTGCTGTGAGAAAGGTAGTAAGGCACCCAGCACCACAAGCCAATTAAAGGAAACACTGATGGTGGCTCTTCAGACGTGTAGTAGGTCACGGGTGGGGGGGTAGATCTGAGGGCAGCAGTGGCCTTCCTGGTGCCCTGTGTTGCCTGCTTTGTCTGTGCATAAGCTGGCCTTCTAGAGGCCCAAGCATCATTGCCATCTCCCAAGGCAGTCTGGGCCCCACAGAACTCTGCTCAGAAGCTTGGTCATTGCTCTAGGGCAGGCCCTGACTTTTGTACCCTAACCTCCTCCCCACACTGTGCCCTCACCTTTTGAGCCAAGATGTTCCATGAATGGGAGGAAGTGGCTTTGCCTGTCACATGCTTGCTTTCCAACCTCACTTCTGTCATCCATCACTTTAAAGTTGTGTTCTGCAATTTACAAAGTGCTTTTAGTTCTACTGGCTCATTGAATCCTCCCAAGAGCATGTAAAGTAAGCGTCATCCCATTTCAGAGACAAGGAAACTGAGATGCACTTGATTGATGACATGAATAGGTCACATAAGTGCTAGAGATGGGTGTTGGTAACTTTAAATTGAAACAGGTGACTATTAGAAAAGTGGAGCATAGAGATCTTAAAGTACTTTTTTGTCAAAGAATAATGTATTAGTCAGCTAATGCCACAATAATGCTGCATGACAAAGCAAATCAACATTCAGTGGCTTAAAACAACCATCTTTTTCTCCTCACAATCAGCCACAATTTGAATGGCTAGGCCTGACTTCAGGCTCCAGGCTCCAGGTCTAGCTCAGTCTGTTCTGTGTATTTTATTCTGTGAATCAGGCTAAAAGAGCAGCAGCTCTCTGAGGTATATTATCATGGCTATGGCAGAAACCCAAGAGGGCAAACACATTTCATGTCTCTGCTCACACCATACCATCTAACCTCCTATTGGCCAAACCCAACATCAGTAGGACAAAGCAGTGTACTCTGTCCCCAGTAGAGAGACAGCAAAGGATTGGGGCAATAGTGCAGTCTACCACATATAACATATATATAGAAAAATGTACAAGTCTGTCATAAGTTCAATGAATTTTAATAAGGTGACACACCCATGTAACCATCTTCCATATGGAGACACAGAACAGTATCACTACTCCAAAAATCCCCTGTGTGCCCCTCACCACGGTGACTGGGATGTGCCAGTCACTATCCACACCCCAACAATATAACCGCTATTCTGACATCTAGCATTATAGACCACTTTTGTTTATTTTTGACTTTTATAGATGGCATCATACAGTATTTGCTCTTTTGTGTCCGGCTTCTTTTGTTCAACATTATGCTAGTGAGAATCATCCATGTTGTTGTGAGTTGCAAAAATTTCCTCATTTTCATTGCTATGTATATTTCATTAAATGAATATACCACAATTTAACCCTTCTACTTGAAGGACATTTGGGTTGTTTCCAGTTTGGGGCTATTGTGAACAATATAGCTGTTAACACTCTTATACCCTTTGGTGGACATTCACTTCTCTGGGGTATATATATATATATATACCCAGGAGTAGAATTCCTGGCTCATAGGATGGGGATATATTTGACTTTAATAGATACTGACACAGTTTTCCAAAGTGGTTATACCACTTTACATGCTGACCGGCAGCAGATAAGTTCCAGTTACGGACCATAAGAATTTAAGGCCAGTAAGTCGTGCTTAGTCCTGTCTTTCTTACGGCCCATGAGAGCAGCCTTCTAGGTGCCGCCTGGGGTGCTAAGCACTTCCTTGTATTATCTCACTTGATCCTCACAATGACTCTACAGTGTTGATATTGTTGTCTCCAGTCCACAGATAAGAACGGAGACTCAGGCGGCTCAGGAAAGCTCTCCGCACACCACACACGCGTGCACTCTGGGAGCTGGTGTGGTAGTTAAAATGGGGCCGGGTGGAGCCAGCCCGCCCCGGGGCTCCAGCCACAGTGAAAACTGTGTCGCAGGGGAGTGAGGACCACGCACCTGACCAACACAGCACCAGGGGGCAGATGTCACACACTGATAAGCTGACCACAAAACCAAATTGTGAAATTTTGTTTTCACGATTCAGTGAAGAATGCTGCGTTGTCAGTATTTCCCAAATAAGATCGGGGAGCGGATAGCTTCAGTTTTAAGCATTCAGACAATTGCTGAAATGCATCAGGGGTCCTCCAGTCCTGAGACCTCACCAGCCACCAGGCATCCTGACTTCCTCAAAGGCAAAGGTTTCTACTTAAGGTGTCAGCTTACAAGACAAGTCAACCTCTGGTTGAAGCTTCTGTCAGCAGAGCTGTCTTGTACCCACACAGATCTCAGCTGCCTAGAATCTGCCTAAGGAAAATAATTTTCTTCCTATTCCATTCAGGGCCTTTTTTTTTTTTTTTTTTTTTTTTTTTTTGGCGGTACACGGGCCTCTCACTGTTGTGGCCTCTCCCGTTGGCGGAGCACAGGCTCCGCAAGCGCAGGCTCAGGGGCCATGGCTCACGGGCCCAGCCTCTCCGCGGCATGTGGGATCTTCCCAGACCAGGGCATGAACCCGTGTCCCCTGCATCGGCAGGCGGACTCTCAACCACTGCGCCACCAGGGAAGTCCCCGTTCAGATTTATAGACCAAGTTTGTCCAGTCACTGGGCCTGGAAAATTTCCTCATCAGGTCCTATAAGCACTCTTTGGATTCCTTCATCTAATGTTTGTCCACTGAGCGCCATCTGGGTGCCAGGCACTGTTCTGATGCCAAGGATCCAAGAGTGGAACAGGCACACATGCCCTTTGCCCTGAAGCAGTTGCCAATTTTTTTTTTTTTGATGTTCTAGAAAGGCATAGTTTAATAAAATAGAGTCCTTGGTCTCAAGGAGTTCACAGTCTAGTAGAAGAGACATAGCAGTGAATACACTATTATAACACAGTGTGGTAAGTGCTATTATACAGGGGGTCATGTGATGCTGAGGGAGCCCCCAGGAGGGGCACCTCTTGTGTGCTCAGTACAGCACCTGGCACTTAGCAGGGGAGCAACAAAAGTCTGTCAAGGGACTGAATGAATAAACCCAACCTGGATGTCAGAGAAAGCTTTCTGGGGGAAGAGAAGCCATATCTGAGAGCAGGAGAAGGAAGGGGGAGGGCTAGCCAGGTGAAAGTGGTGGACTAGGGTTGGGACGAAGGGGCACGTGATACAGCAGCAGCACGTGCCTTGAACTCTCCCAGGTTCTGGAACATGTACCCAGCTCAGGATGTTGTGCATAGTAGGTGCTCAGTGAAACCACGGGGACCCTGTTGGGTCTTCTATTCAGGCCTCTGTTGTGCACCTTCAGGAAGCAGCTGCTGCCAGTCCCTTGCATTGTGTGCACAGGGCAGTCACAGCCTGCAATGCAGACGCTGCCTTTGGAGTGGAGCAATGTGGTGCTGCTTCCTCGGAATCCAGACGTCTCTGTCTGTCCTTTTTGATGCTGCCTGTCATCTGGTTCCACCGTGCTTAGTCTCCCTGTTTTCTTCAGTCTTCTCAGTACACACCCTTTGCTCCTGCAAAGCCAGCAGCTGCCAATTTTAATGGCGCTGAGCCTGGGGAGGCAGATAATACAGAATAAATGAAGATAGATTTGAAATGGTGCTGTGAAAGAAAGAAAAGGCCCCTGGAAGGGGATAGCAACTACTCGATTTAACATAGATGTGGTCCACAGTTCAGAGCACTTTCCAAAGGGCCACGAGGGCCAGCTGACGTTGCTGATGCCTGTGAGCAGCAGCGTTTGGAGCCCTTCTCCACTCTCTGTCTCATCAAACCATCCACATCTTCTTTCAATTCCCTCTGGCCCCTGTCTCATGCCCAGTGTTAATAGGTGCTAACTGGCAGAAAGATTGTGGCAAAAATGATGTCTCACAAATTGGAACTGTCTCAGTGGGGCGCTCTTTCTCTAGTAAACCTTGATTTGCTCCAGTCACTTGGGACCTTTCTGACTGTGTAGCATCTGATAAATCATCGACTGTCTCCTCT